TTTCCCTGAATTCTTTTTGATTGGTTAATATCTTCTAACAGACCAAACATGAATCTCTACTGTCACCTCATCATCTTTGGTCTCTCAATACCAATAGATGTGCTATACAAAAAACAGTTAGTTAATGTTGTCGTCTTCTTCTGCTCACAGAGGTCGTGTGCGGCGCTCCTTCCATCTACCTGGACTTCGTCAGGTCCAAACTTGATGCTAAGTTCGGAGTTGCTGCTCAGAACTGCTACAAAGTGGCCAAGGGAGCCTTCACTGGGGAGATCAGGTACGTCACGTGTCCATCAGAGTAGAAGACACAGGGTTTGGTAAATACAAATTAAAGATGTATGGATGCAGGGAACAAAATAAGCACCAAATAGCAGCTAAACGTGGGTAATATATAACTGGCTAGTAGGTTTGCTATTGAGTCGCTGGTTTAATTGAAACATGCACTAGCCATTTGGCCAAGCAGGATACATTCTCCAACACTTCATTCAGAATCCTCTGGGTCACAAAGTATTTCACATCACTGTTTGAAACCCATTTGTGTTGCTTATCTTGTGTTAACTGTATGAACATGTGTCTCCAGCCCTGTGATGATCAAGGACTGTGGAGTGAACTGGGTGATCCTGGGACACTCTGAGAGACGCCACGTCTTCGGAGAGAGTGATGAGGTAATGATTATTTTATCTTCTTTAATCACTCTGCGCTATCTCCATAGTTTGCTGTTATGATGCTGAGTGCTAAAGTGTAATCCTTTAGTTTCTAATGGCTTCTACTTCACCTCCGTTTTTATAATGCGTCTATTTATTTATGCCGTGGTTGTGTACTGATTCTTTTTTAAATACTAGCCTACTTTTATCGTTGCCTTTTTTCTTCACTGTCACTTTCTCTACTAACGTGTATTTCCCTGCAGTCGGTTGAACGAGGGATATCTTTACTTGAGTAGGATACACACCTTTCCTCCCGAGTACACTTTGTGATTACATGCTTGTGTGTGTGTTTTAGCTCATTGGTCAGAAGACCGCCCACGCTCTGGAGAGTGGTCTCAGTGTGATCGCCTGCATCGGTGAGAAGCTGGACGAGAGGGAGGGCGGCATCACCGAGAAGGTCGTCTTCGCTCAGACCAAGGTCATCGCAGGTAAACAATCCCAAATGTAGAGTTTTACAAGCACAGAGTCTAAATGATGCATTAGGGAATGTTTATGCAAGCTAGAGACGGGTGGGAACCAGAAAATATGAATCCAAGTCTTATCTTGCATCTTTTTTCAGACAACGTAAAGGACTGGAGCAAGGTGGTGCTTGCTTATGAGCCCGTGTGGGCCATCGGCACCGGGAAGACCGCCTCCCCACAGCAGGTCAATATAAGTACCCAGTGAAAATGACTACTGTAGTTTATCCCCATTACTCGTCCTGATGTGTCTGCTTCCTGTTTCATATGTCAGGCTCAGGAAGTTCACGACAAGCTGAGGGGGTGGCTGAAGGCCAATGTGTCCGAGGCCGTAGCCAGCTCCGTGAGGATCATCTATGGAGGTCAGTCGGTGACAACATGGTGCTTTTTGTGATATTCTAGTTAGTTTTTCAACATTAATCTCTAAATATGACTCTCTTCAGGCTCTGTGACCGGCGCTACCTGCAAAGAGCTCGCCTCCCAGAAGGACGTTGACGGTTTCCTCGTGGGCGGAGCCTCCCTGAAGCCCGAAATCATCGAAATCATCAACGCAAAGTTATAAAAAACCCCGGCAGCTGCAATGTGCCGAGTCCAGATCAGAGGCCAGAGTCATCCAGACCATCCAGTTACATCATCCCTCACTTAGTCCTCTTCCCCTTTTATTCAAACGTATTGGTGTAATGATGTCATTCCCTCCTTTTTCCTTTATTCTTTTGCTATATTTTGTCATAAAGAAAAGGGACAGGTTGCACTGTGCTGCACTGAAAAAAGTGAAATCTACTGAGAAAAGTCTGTGTGCTTACTAACTTTCACCAAGCTGCAAAGACCGACATCGACACCTCGTTTGGACGGCTAGTCCACGCCTTTACTTGAAAAGTTTACCAAGTTCCAGTGTCACAGCTCTCAATTAATATTGATGTCTCTTTTGTTGTGGTTATGATGTTCTGTGGCTTCCCCCCGTAGACGTGCATGATCCGCTCTCTCTTTGGCTGTTTGCCAAGAGAAGAGCGTCCATTACATGTTAATCATACTGTGTCATGGCCGATGGGAAGAAGGGTGGCAAGGCTGTAAGGAAACATAATAAACCGTTTAAAGACTGTTTTAAGTGTCGAGTCTTCTTTTTGCTTGTTTTCTTGATAGTGTTTATCCCATGACTTTCTAAAGACACTTTCATTTTGTTTCTATTTTACTTGTGTACAAAAGGGTTCATAAACAGCTGTGTTCATTTCCATACGATGGAAATCCCAGAGGTGTTCTCGGGATGGCAGGCAGACGATATCTTATTACAGAAATGACCTCCAGTTAAGACAACGCCATGCAGAGAAGCATTTAGTTGCTATGTTTATCCTGGCACTGGACTAAATCAGAGGCGCAGCAGGAGTAAAAGACTTGAGTAACATGGCATGAAATTCTAGCTCTGCAAAACACAATCTTGCATACAGAAAATAAATATTGATCAATCTGTAAAATAGAGACCAAAGCATGCTGAGCATTGAGAAATGTTCTCAAATTAATTAGTAAAAATCATTATGCTGCCATTACTAATTAATTTGAGAACATTCATTTATTCTAATGACTTGCCTAATCTTGTTTTTCTCATACTTTCAAATTGAATTCTACAGAAATGGTCTTTCATATAAATTAGCTTATATACTGAGCTTTATACAACATAGTGCTTGTGCAACATAGCAGTGGTGGCTGATGCATCTTTCTGCAAGGGGGGCTCTACCAAAATGTGAGCATACATATACACAGTAAAAATGTGTCATATTACAAGGCAAGGTTAGCTCAAAGGCACTAGCTCTTAGAGCAAAATGACTCGGGGTGCATCTGAGATTAGAGAGGGTGCAGGGGTAAAGTGCTATTTTTATAAGTGGGGAGTGGACCTAACACCCTCTAGGGGGGTCCTCACCTCCTCTAGGGGGGTCTGGGGGCATGCTCCCCCGGGAAGATTTGTTTTTAAATATTGAAGTTAAAAGCATCAATCTGGTGCACTTTGAGAGCAAAATGAAGAGATATATGCTCTATGTGCTCTTTGCTTGATTCATGCCTTCCCAGTCCCTTATCACCTACAAGAGCATGGCGCCATTTGTTGGAGCCAGTTGTGGTGAAGGCATCTGACTTCCTCGAACCGAAATGTTTACACAGGCATAGCAGAAAATGGCATCTTTTTTACATGAATATTCCAGCCAATCTCTGTTTTGAAACCATGAGCTGCAAAATGAGCGCCTTACCCCACTGTACAGGCGAGTTGGGTACTTTTTTAAATATACCTGCAGGGTCTGTTTTGCCGAGGTCCTCTGGCACTTGCGGGCCACTGAGGGGTGGCGGTGTTTGGGGCAACGAAGACGGCTGCGGCTACTTCGCCTCCGTGGGCGAGTCGGCCGTTAGTGTCCACGACAGTGGCCGCGGGTAACATAATGTCCCCATGATCTGAACTGTTATTACCTGCAGTAGATGCAGTGTTACTGCTGGCGATTAGGGCTGGTTGTTTTAACCATTTTCTGATGTCCATCACCGACTGCTGTGTAAGCACCTTGCAGATGATTAACTTGCAGCGGCACAGGTCACGCACACCTGACATAATAACGTTACTTACCGTTTAAATTGACCAAATAAATGCAGCAGACAATGTTATTTAACCACAATTACAATTTATTTGATTTCAACTAAATTATTATTATTATTACTATTATTATTAATGTGATATTTTTCACCTTTCCTTTTTTTTAATACTTTTCATTTTTCAAATGAGGGTGCATAACGACTCCACTGCAATGCACCCTTATGTTCCCCCGTAGAACCGGGCCTGTTGGTAGGACATGTATGTCCCTCCGAGTCAGGTCTTTCAGAAGCGAGGCAAGAATCCTTCCTTGCCTCGGAAAACGAAGAATGGTGGAACAGGCTAACAGGCGTGCGTCATATGCGAGGCCCCGCCTTAAATGGAGCGCGATTTCCTCCAAAGATTTTGGAAATGTGTCCGTGCGCAAAGCATTGTGGGGATTTGAAGACCGCGGAGGATACACATGTGCAGCCTCGAAATTTCCCGCAACGAAGGACGCCGGCCTCGGTAGAATTCCAAGCATCCTGTACATTGGAACAGTCCTTCGATGACGTAGTATGCTTGAAATAGTGGCTCTGGAGCAGCCTTCCTCGACATTGAGAAACACCCACAGTCTATTATTTTAGAAAGGATGTGCCTGTTTTTGTCAACCTCCTTATGCTTACAGATCTCTATCCCGTAGCCTTCATTGAGTTGGACAGCTATGTTTACTTTCCCAAACATGGCTTGTCGCAAAGCATTTTCCATGTTCATGCTTTTGAGTTTTTTCTGATATGTGCTTTAAGTCACTCACACCTGTCTGGATCCATGCTGGGTCTGGTTCACATAGTAATTAGTTTGCGATACTAAGACACTGCTGTAATTAATTTGAATACTAAGCCATTAATTTTGTCCTACTAAGTAATTATTCTGTAATACAAAGTTTTCTATTTTCTAATTAATTAATTGCGTTAATTCTAATTTCTAGATACTTAGTCACGATTTTCAGATATGAAATCATTATTTAGAGATAGTTTAGATAACTTTTCATTGTAGCATATTGTGTGTTCTACTGGCAGGAATTGGCTTCCATAAAATAAATTGTATTTTTCACCACATGTTTTCATCCGAGAAACCTTGTTTGTATTCAATGGTATTCATTTGCAAGACGTATAACATATTATTGTCGAATCAACCAATATATTGTGTTTTTTTGGTCGTAAATTACTCTTTATAGTTTGTTTTCACCCCGGTGCTGCAGGGGGCGCTGGCTCCCCGCAGTGAAACCTGTGAGGGTCTCACTCTCGATGTTTACAAGCGAAGCGTGACGTTCAGGGACCCGCAACAATAAAACGTCTCACAGTGCCACTAAAAGCAAATTATTGTAATTAACAAGCGTCCAAAATGCAGTCACTGAGAGTATTTCTCAGCGAGAGACTGACGGCTGCAGCGGAGGAGATATTTGCAGCTGTGGAAAAGACAATAACCGAGTACAAAGAGGAGATATTTCGTTCAAAAGATCTGGAAATCAGTCGTCTCAGGATGCAGCTGAAGATCCTCATATCAGGTCGGTTGAATGGAACAAAATGTCATGCAGAACTGCGTTATATTACGGATCAATTGCATGATTTGGATGCTTGTATGTGTCTTTTATCTAGAGCCTCGGTTGGACAGATGCATTGGAGCCCAGCTGCAGCAGCTCACACATCAACACCTTCCTCCCCCCTCTCCTCCTCCCCCTCAGCATCACTCAGTCTCTGCAGTGGAGCCTCCTGAGCCCTGTGAGGAAGATGAGGAGCATCCAGAGCCCTCCCAGGTGAAGAAGGAGCACCAGACGAAGAGCCACAGGGATTTCTGGCTGGGTCACGACGAAGAGCAGCTGGAAAGCCTTGAATCAGACATTAAAGACTTCATCTCTTCCCCCTCCAGCCTGAAAAGCAGCCTCCAGGACCCCACCTCACCCTTCCACACTTTCCACAATAATCACAGCGACGAAGGCAGAGAGAAACCCTACCTCTGCTCGGTGTGTGAGAAGCGCTTCAGTAACTGCTCCCACCTCTCAGCTCACATCAGGACACACACCGGAGAGAGGCCGTACAGATGTGAAATCTGCAGAAAGACTTTCATCACCACCAGCGCTCTGAACAGACACCAGACCATTCACACAGAGGGGAAACACTTTGTGTGCAACTACTGTGGCAAATCCTTCAAATGGATGGAGTCTCTGGGCAGGCACATCCGAAGCGTGCATAAGAGGGAGAATGTGCCTGTATGACTCACATTGAAACACACATTTCAGATAGAGTAGTTTTGTTGTTGCTGTGTGTACTGTATTCATAATTTAACACAAAGAATGTAACGTTTGTGTATGTTAACGTGTGCATGGACCTCATTAAAAGCCTTGTAAGCCTGTGTGCAAATTAATTATAAAAACACTTTAACAAAATAAAGTTAATGTTAATTTATTACTGAAGAATAAAAATTAAATACTCTTTGTTTAGTGTTGTGTTATGTTTTGCTACCTGCTGCAGTAACATTAGAAAAGGAAGTTGCACAGTACTCCAGTAGATGGCAGTAACTGCATTTCATTCATCATTTTATGTTGATATACAGTGTATGGTAGTGTTCAGACTGGTGTCTCGTATGTACTTCGTTTCTGGGAACTGACAGGAAAGTCCTTCTTAAAGTCAATAAATACATAGAGGTCATTCCAAGTGGTGGACTTAAGCAAGTATTTTAAGGAGACTGTTATAGCAGTATATCAAAGCCCATGATTTAGGGATTAGTTGTCAGGAGTCAAAAGTTCTTGTGTCCACAGACTTTTGGCTACTACAGTGTATTTGGTACATGCTATAAAGTTGGGATGTTGCTTTGGTTTTGCAGTGAGTTCTCTCCTCATGGTGAAATTAGACCGGACTTCCCCTGAGCCCTCTTTACTTGCTATCATTATAAAACCATTACTGATATCCAGGGGTGAACTTGGAAAGCAGGGAACAGTGAGTTACAGAGAGCTTAGTTTTGTGTTGTAAATAATAGATACAGGTCTTTAAAATATACAAGTTTGAGTTAGGAAATACAGAGTTTGATGTGTTTTTGTGGCAAGGTTCAAGGCACCAATACTTAAATCCCCCTTTTCATGTGTCAGCTAGCTTGAAATATTGATAGTAACTGTGCTAAGTGGCAAGCGTCTGCATTTCATTCACGTCTCGCAATGCTGCAGAGCATCTTGTTGAACCGGAGTATTATTTCATGATACACTCACTTAATATGGAGCGGTTTCTCTGAGGGCTCTCATGTACGTGCAGGTGCTCTGTGCAGTAAACCTCTTACTACAAGTGTGCAGAGTAGGCAATTAAAATGATGACATAATATCTCTTAGAAATGGTAAACTGGATTATCATAAAGATGAATAATGTGTATAGGCGCTGCTCCAAAGATTTCCCCGCTGCAGGTTCAATGGAGAAGTTATAAGACAACACTTCAGTGGAAATGACCCAATCGTATAGTTTTACAGCCCAGTCTGTATCTTCTGTGCTGCTCGGTAGAAAACACCAGAGATGGGTTTCACACTGGAACTCCAAAAAGAGCAATGTGCTTCCCATTAACCCCGTTATTCCCGGTGGCCAAAGGGCTTCCTCGCGCTTTGTTTACTATAAATGGGAAAACAGAAAGATGTGTTGAAAAATACTGCTGCTGGTTTATAAAGCACTGAATGGTTTAGGCCCAAAATACATTTCTGACCTCCTGCTAAATGATGAACCATCCAGATCTCTCAGGTCTTCAGGGACTGGTCAGCTTTCTTGTCCCCAGAGTCAGAACTAAACATGGAGAAGTTCAGTTAGTATGCTCCAAATATCTGGAACAAACTCCCAGAAACCTGCAGGTCCGCTGCAACTCTGACTACTTTTAAATCCAGGCTGAAGACTTTTCTTTTTGTCGCTGCTTTTAATTGAACTATTCATATCTTAGACTACACTGTAACTTTTATTCATGTATTTTTTCTTTTTCTTTTAATGTTTATTTTATTATCTTTGCTTTTTAATGACTGATTTTAAATGCCATTTTCTTAATGCTCTTAATGTCTTTCATTTTTGTAAAGCACTTTGAATTGCCTTGTGTTGAAAGGTGCTATATAAATAAACTTGCCTTGCCTTGAAAACAACTTACTCTCGTTTGAAAAAAGTTTAAAATGGTGCTTTTTTAATGTTGTTTTGCAAGTGTCATTTGATCATTTATCCAACAAACAAGAGTGGTAACAACAAACCTGTGTGCTTGATTGTTTTTAACATGCTGTATTAGATACAAAAAAGGGTTAGGGTTAGGGTCCAGTGTTTTTATCACCTCAAAGTGTAATGCAACTCTTATCTTCCTCATACACCCAATACCTTTTTCACTAAGTATACTTTTGCTCTGGTAGGCCACTGTTTCCTAAGTAATGACTAATCATGGTTTGTATTGTGTTTTATATGCGTATTTGAGTTGTGTGAGATAAAAAATAAAAATAAACAATTAGAGACTTGAAGTAAACAAAGACACACATAAGAACGATGGGAATATTAGCCTCGCTTTGCCTAGCTTCATTTTGACCTCGACGACCAGAGAAGACAAGAAAAGCAGGTGGAAATAAATGGAAATGTATGCAAAGTGTGAATATCAACATCAAAGAAACAGACACAGTGACTCTACATGGTGGTCAATGTGTAGCCAGGATCCTCTTAGACGTAGTATTTCAAAACCTGTTCCCCAACCCACAGTCCATTTCCTATTTTGTTAATCAAATCATGTTTGTTTTCAGGTGTAATTTGAGTTGACAGTGAAAGCTTTCTATTTCCAGCACTAACCGGACCAGTTTTAATCATGTCGTTGGTTGCTGAGTTGTTGAGGATGACCACGTGCTCCCTGAGGTGAAGTGGAGGGGGTCAGAGAGCTCTGGTCTCCAGCAGGTTATCTACGAACACTTGACAAATGCTCAGCAGTGCTTCAAGATGATCCTGCGGGGTCTCCCTCTCCAGGCGGGAGTGGAGTGAAGAGCAAGCGGTCAGAAGAGGTTAACTGTACGGGTGAGAGGAGGTGAAGAGGCAACAGACACTTAAGAGGTTGAGATGCTCCTACGGGAGATGTTAGGAATGGTGCTCAAGCAGAGGTTTCATTGACAAGAGTGAGTATCTCTCCGTGGCATCTCAAACATGTTCTCCATGTAATTGAATGAAATGAAGAGAGAAGCGCGTTGATGTTCTTGAATGTAGTCAGGGGGGAATATAGGATTTGTTTAAATGAAATGGAGCAGTTGGGACCAAATGCCAGTCAGGAGGGGCCAAAATCACATAGAAATAAAACTGATAATTAAATCACCTATCATGCAAAATCCACTTGTTCGTGTCTCTTCTACATCAACATGTGTCCCCTCTTCTCCATGTCTCTTCTACCATCAACATGTGTCATGTCATGTGACCTCTTCTCCATGTCTCTTCTACACAACATGTGTCCCTCTTCTTCATGTCTCTTCTACATCAACATGTTGTCCCCTTCTTCTTCATGTCTCTTCTACATCAACATGTGGTCCCCTCTTCTTCATGTCTCTTCTACATCAACATGTGTCCCCTCTTCTCCATGTCTCTTCTATATCAACATGTGTCCCCTCTTCTTCATGTCTCTTCTACATCAACATGTGTCCCCTCTTCTTCATGTCTCTTCTACATCAACATGTGTCATGTCATGTGACCTCTTCTCCATGTCTCTTCTACATCAACATGTGTCCCCTCTTCTTCATGTCTCTTCTACATCAACATGTGTCCCCTCTTCTTCATGTCTCTTCTACATCAACATGTGTCCCCTATTCTCCATGTCTCTTCTACATCAACATTGTCCCCTCTTCTTCATGTCTCTTCTACATCAACATGTGTCCCCCTCTTCTTCATGTCTCTTCTACATAACATGTGTCCCCTCTTCATCATGTCTCTTCTACATCAACATGTGTCCCCTCTTCTTCATGTCTCTTCTACATCAACATGTGTCCCCTCTTCTTCATGTCTCTTCTACATCAACATGTGTCCCCTCTTCTTCATGTCTCTTCTACATCAACATGTGTCCCCTATTCTCCATGTCTCTTCTACATCAACATGTGTCCCCTCTTCTTCATGTCTCTTCTACATCAACATGTGTCCCCTCTTCTCCATGTCTCTTCTACATACAAACATAGTGTCCCTCCTTCTTCCATGTCTCTTCTACATCAAACATGTGTCCCTCTTCTTCATGTCTCTTCTATATCAACATGTGTCCCCTATTCTCCAATGTCTCCTTCTACATCAACATGTGTCCCCTCTTCTTCATGTCTCTTCTACATCAACATGTGTCCCCTCTTCTTCATGTCTCTTCTACATCAACATGTGTCCCCTCTTCTTCTTCATGTCTCTTCTACAGCATCAATGGGTCATGTGTCCCCCTCTTCTCCATGTCTCTTCTACATCAACATGTGTCCCTTCTTCATGGTCTCTTCTACATCAACATGTGTCCCTCTCTTCTTCCATGTCTCTTCTAACATCAACATGTGTCCCCTATTCTTCATGTCTCTTCTAACATTCAACATGTGTCCCTATTCTCAGGTCTTCTTCTACATCAGCATGTGTTCCCCTCTTCTCCATGTCTCTTCTACAATCAACATGTGTCCCCTCTTCTTCATGTCTCTTCTACATCAACATGTGTCCCCTCTGTGGAAAGAGACTCTGAAAGTTTCAGGAACAAAGATTCTCTCTTTTTTTGTCCTGATCCATTTCTATAAAAACCTGTCTGAAAATGAGCTGATCAGATTTTGGCCACTTTATGATGTCATAACGATTTTTTGGCTTGTGTAACCATTAGCCAATCAGCAACCAAGATAACCCCCCCCCCCACCTTATCACCTGAATCTCCTCCTAGAGCACCATTGAGTTTTGGGGAGGGGCTCCTTATTTTCATCTGAAGGAAAAGACAGAGAATCAGCACTTTGGAAACAGGGCTGAAACAGAGGGGATTATGGGTAATGCTGCAATGATCCGTTTGGTGTTTGGAGCCAAATACTTCAGAGACATGTTTTGTATATATCTGAGAGCTATAATATATTGACAAAAAGCAGTATAATAGGAGACCTTTAACTTAAAATAGCACAGCCGCTGAGGCACTATAGTTAGCGGATCTTACGCAGGGCAATGATCCAGGTACAGACAAGAATCTCCATTTGTGCATTTCTTATATATTCCAATAACAAAGAACAACCAACAGGTTTCCAATATTTCCTTCCTTAAGCCTTTCTATGGCTTTCCTTTCTTCTGGCTTAAAAAACCATGTGCCTACTAGTGCTCTACTCCAATATACACATTTACACCAGGTGCTCCAATCACCCAGTGCCCAAACATGCATTCAAAATAAAAGTATAGACACTAACAATAACTAAGAATACATTCACTATAAACAATAACAGTAGGAAAATAAATGTTTAACTATTAAATCATATGAA